ATGAAAAAGAAGAGATGTAAGGATAAAGTATTTTGTACTTGCTCAATTCAAGCGGAGAAAAGGTAAAAGAAAAAATCTTTTACCTAATATTTCATGAATAAAGTGGTACTACTTTCCATGGGAAAAAATGTTATTTAAATTCTTAAAATAGTGAAGGTTCATGAAATGAGAAAAAAAAATCATTGTGAAAAAAATGAATTTTTTATCTTTGGAAATACTCTACAAAGGGCATTACAAGTGCATATATCCACTTTGAAATAAATCACATGTTGTTTGGCTATAATGGGATGATTTTTAGCTCTGACACGAGGGTAATAAATTAATTATGAAAATTATGTTGAGTAGTCATTTAACATGAAATATATTTTGGGTGAAAAAGTATCATAAATATGCGATGAAAGTTTTCTTGTCAAGTCACATAATACTAAAAAAAAATTATAATACAATTTTACTGATTGTGTGAGTCTTGCAACTCCTTTTGATTCAATTGTGTGAGAAAGTTATGACAAATAAAAAAAAAGTTTACTAGACTATTAAATATATGAGCTATTTAATTAACAAGTTGACTTGATGTTGTGTTCGCAGTTAAAGTACTTTTCAGGTACAAACAAACTAAATGAGAAAAAATTGGTGTTCTTTGTTGGAATGAGAAAAGCAAATTATTTTTTGCTAACTCTTCTATGGAGGTTGAAGTAAACAATTTAAATTTTAACTAGTAAAAAAGTGAAATGATTTTACCATATCAAACACTTTATTTGAGAAAATAATTTTTCTAATTTTAATTAATTGAGATAGCAAGAATATAATGATTGGATGCAAAATTGTTATTATAAGGTAAATTCAAACTCATGAGAAGAAAATATAGTATTGTGAGATCGTACTGATCATTGGTATACCATCAATATTAATTGTGGTAAAATTATTTGTGATAATCTTGGAGATTCATGAACTAAGGTCTTTGCAAGAAAAAGAGTTTGAAGCACATCGAGAGGAATGTAATTGAAGCTAAAAAAAATTCTAATTTATTTGAGGAAATTCAATCTGAGTCTAGAGATTCTATAACCAGGCTCAATGGGAAGAACGAATCATAGGATGACTTGTTGTGAAATGCATTATTCTAAATTTTATTCAATCCCTATAATATGAATGCATTTATCCTATAATGATTTGTGGAGGCTGAGTCTTGAATGCTTAATGAAATTTTATATCTCGTATGAGTGAGGTGTCAAATTATAGGAGCACCTTTGATAGATTTTACATATGTGAGTGTGAAAGTAGGTCACTTTCTATGAGAATGAGCTTCTTCTTGACAACACTCATGAAATTGGGATAACACAAGACCGTAATATTTTGACTATTGAAGTTTATGTCAACACCTTGATTATTGTGTGTAAGTAGTGATAACTTTATTTACGTTAAATAGTCATAGTTTAAGTCTGAAGTAAAGTTTATTGTTTTACTATGTAAAGGTTTTGTCACGTTTCGAGCCTGCACCCTAGACGTGGACAATACTCAAAGACCATTGTTGGTCTCAAGCGAACCCTTGATCTGGTTACTGACTCAAAAGGAAGACTCTAAGCACCATTACAATGACGAAATGAACTTACTCAAACATCTTAATTGTATAACTTAAAATATTTAAAAGTCAAACATTCAACATGGCAAAAATGGCAACCCAAATTTTTAACATATGAATGATAATATAAAGGCTACTGAACTACTAATTCTCTAACTGTCTACAAACACTCTAAAACAACTAAAGTGTATGTCGGGACAAGCCAGCCTCTGAACTACTCACTGGATTAACGGTGCACTGAAATACCGATTCTAGTTACCTGTGTCTACATCATAATACGATGTAGGCCAAATGATGTAGTACATTGAATGTATAAGTATGCGGGTTAATATGCTAAACATAATATAGGCTTGAAAAGTTTCTGAAAGAAACACTTACCTTGACTTTACTCTACTCATGAATAAACTTAACTTAGAAAAAAGCAATGAAACATATGTAATATATGAAAAGCTTTATAAAACAGTAAAAGCAACTTAGTTCGTTAAATAAAATGCAATAAGAAAATTCAACTTTACTCATATACAAAGTGATGAGTTTAGCTGGAAGTTTCTCTAACCGACATCCACCACTATGAGCCTAAGTGGTGATACAATTTCTTTACATCATGCTTCTAGACTGTCCTATACTTTGCCCGTATTAGATCCACTAGCTTAACTTAATAAACATTTCCCTTAGTGGATTCACTAGCTTAACTACATCTATCTCATATATATTAATGACTAACTTGTATCACATGCATCTGATACACATTAAATTGGTCATGCTATGTTTATACAAACTACTGCTAACTACTCATTCTTTGGCAACGGTATATTCATACAAATTAACTACATGCATCTAATACTTAAATAACTACATGTATCTAATACTTAAACAACTATTACACCATAATGTATCAATCTAAAATCAAACAGGTTAGGACAATCTTTACTTCTCTAATGTATCTGGTAGGATAATTTGAGATTACAAAATAAATATTGTGTCTGGCAACAATTTTATCACTTTGTATCTTTCGTACTTCACCTTACTTTCTCAAATTTCTAAATGCCTTTAAGAAATTGAGATATTCATGATGTATGGGCTCAAATTTTGGTCCAATTTAGATCAAAACTTAAAGCTTTTTTGGACGATTTGAGATTTTGTTCAACTAAAAAAATTAATTTATAAATTTCTTAGTATAATCAAGATCATGATATATCTTCTCCAATTTTGCGAAAATTTTGAATTAAAATTGAAAGAATATTGAATGATTTTCTTGAAGAATTTAAAAGGATTTTGGATGATCTGAGAGAAGAAATTTGAAATTGATTGTTCTAAAGTTGTTACGCTTTGTAAAGAATTGATTAGCAGTGACAACGATATGATTGCATTATTTATGGGATTGTAAATTAATTTATATATTTTTCCCTTTGAAGCATAACATCGTGGAAGTAATGTATTAGCTCCTTTGTATTCGGATTGTTGGAATATAGCTGTCAATATGTGCTAGCACACTCCATTCGGGCTAACGGAATTTCACATTTTACGAGTCAGGCGTGGCTAGACTTATTTTTGTGTGGATCAAAAAATGATTGGTCCAACCCACAAGTATGTGGCTACAGGCTTGGCGAACCAGCCCACTTTTTTAAAAAATATTTATTTTTTATGATTATTAAATTAAATTATAATTATAATTTTTAAATATTATCATGAATTCGAAAAAATAATATTACATGATCTTATTGATACTACTTGTTTATTAAATCCACATATAAAATTATCTTTATAATATCATCAAGTTTTTTTTCAAGTAAAAGTATAAATATCTAAATAAAAATATTAAATTAATTGTTTTAAGTTTGGACTCTCCTTATTTCTTTATTTGTAAATTTTCATTGGACAACTTTCATATACATCAAACATCAAAATTCATATTTACATGCTATAACAAAGTTTGTGTAATTACGCTTCATAGTAAACATATATATGTATAATTCGCTATACATATACAATTGAAGTGAATTGTTTAAAATAAAGTGCATAAAACAAGAAAGAGAGAGATTTGGGCAGAGAATTGTATTAAACGAAGTGTATGAGATGAGTTGTATAATTATAAGTGTATAGGACGATAGCATACAATTTGAATTTGTATAAAACGAGAAAGGGAGAAAGACAAAAGAGACTTGGGCAGGAAATATACAATTGAATCGAATTGTATAAAATGAGAAAGAGAGAAATTATATACAACTCGAATTTGTATAAAATGAGAAAGAGAGAAAGACAAAAGGAACTTGAGAAGGAAAGTACTTTTATTGTATAATTATAAGTGTATAAGACGGAAATATATGTATTTGCATGTGTATAAGACGAAATTTTCTCCCGTTTTATACAATTAAAAACACAATTTATACAATTTTATTGTATAAAGCAAGAGAGACAAGCAAAAGAAGTGAGCGAGAATATGAGGGAGAATGGCGAGCGAGAATATGAGGGAGAGAGGGACTGACAAACAGTTTGCTATGGAATCAAATAAATCAAACGGAGCTACTATATTTATTTTATATTATTAGTTTGACATTCTTTACAATAATCACATCTTAATATTATATTATATTTTTAAATTAATTTTATTGACCCACGGGCCGACCATACCGATATTCTCAAGCCCCACAAATCAACAGGTTTATTCATGTTGGGCTAAAAGACTCTTTTATTAAATTGACTTCAAAAATTATAGCCTAATCCTATTAAATTCCGGATTAAATTAGACCGGCCTGACGAACCTAACTCATATTGACAACTCTAGTTGAAATGTATTAGTAACATTTAATTAAAGGAATTTTTGTAAATTAGAAAATTATCCCTTGTACCATGAAATTCCTTTTTTTTTTTTACATAAAAATAGGTTCAATAACAATAATTCTCTCTTTTAGAATTCAATGTAAAGAAAATTCATTGTAGTATCTTTTGGATTAAAAACGATGTAGATATTTTATTTAGTTTGTAGCATATTATCATACGAGTCAAAAGGGAGTTTTTACAATTTTTCAAGTATAGCATGCTTAATGTAGTTGGAGCCATATCAATACTAAACATAGTACTAAACATACAATTCGCTTATTATTTTTTAACTCGTATAAAATTGAACAAATAAAAAAAGTTATAATCAACGAAAGAAATTTACATGATGGATTTCACCTCTGCAATTACAAACAAGAACAATTAATTTTATTATTATTAGAGAGCATAAAAAAGGAAGAAAATTAATAATATTTTTGGCAAAATTTTGAGTGAATAAAAGTTAGAATCCTAATTCATTTGTCCAACTCATATTTAATCCATTAATACCAATATTTTATGATTTTAATATGAATTTTTAATCCGTATTTCATCCGTTTAAAAACTCACTCACCCAATCAATTAAACTATAAGTAGATAGAGCATATCACCAAAATATAGGTTCATTTTGCCAATTCACACGCATAAGATATTATAAAGGTAAGTTTGTGGAGCCCAATGTGAAGTTTGAACATAATAAGCTACTCAGAGCATTAGAACAGTTTATTTTTCCCAGGGAATAGTTTAAAACCAAAGTTTAACACTGTAACATCAGAATTACCAACAAAAAATTCATTTGCTTTTGGCATGTTTTTCAGCACCAAAGGGAAGGGAGCTTCCAACTCCATGCTTGTTGTCTAGGCTACCAGGGCTAATTTCAGTTTTCAGTCTCCTGGAATTATCCGAAACCACCTTTGACGTCATAAATGTGCTGCAAACGAAAAAAGAGTTTGAGAAAATGTGCAACATAAATGGAAACGACGTAATACAAAATTTTCTACCCAGAATGCAAGAAATGTGCATCATAGGAGGATTTAAAAGCTTGTTATATATTCTTACTGAATACTGACCTGGTTGAATTTCTTTCAAGGATCATTAGATGTCTAAGTATAGAGGGACTGGAATAGAAATACAAGTAACAAATGAATAAATATGTAAGGTTAATTTCTACACATTTTCTCCCCTCAAACTAACATGAGTACATAAGTTGACAGAGTTGGGATCACTAGCATTTCCAGTGATCCACTGCTATTAGTAACGCATTGATGCTTAACAGGTCCTCATTCAAACCAAGATACATCGAACTTTTTGCAGAACAAGAACCACCACAATGTCCAGTAACATCATATCATAGACTCAAACCCCCATGAACCATCTGGATTATTCAATTTCACTTCAACATCCAATACAACCACCAAGTATAAACAAAAGGCTGTGAGTAGTAGAAACATAAGATTACAAGCATCATAGCTTCCAAAACATTAAATTCTATCCAAAAGAGCGAACTAGCAATCTGTGCTCCTAAACTAAATTTGTCACTGTAGCACTGCGGTTGAACTATTCCTGAAGAGGTTCAAAAAGAAAGTATTTTCAGATCCCAACAACATTGCTGGAAATGAGACATCCAATATGAATTTGGAATCATTGCAAATTAACAGTATCAATCAGAAAATGGAATTCTCATCAATTAATTGTTATCTACTGATCTTGGACATGTTGGATGTCAGTTGTGGAAAGTATCATTTTTGCCAACTCTAGACTAGGCATTGGATAAATTATTGCCTAGTGCAAGACGATGAAAGCTAGTATGACAGTTTCTCTGGTCAAATGATGTCTCTCTACATTAACAAGTGTGAAATTATTTCCCTGGATACTTAATTCTGTGCACATATGAACTTTCTAGCCTTCACCTGTTATGAGAAGGAAACTTTTTGACCATCTATAATTTAAGTTCTTGTGAACAAAGTTGAACTACTATGGCTAGAGCTTATGACTTTCGACATAAAGGAATACATGCAGAGAGTTCCTTCATATGAATTTGGACCAGAAACAATAAAACCGAAAAAACAAGAGAAAGGAAACTAATAAATGAAAAGGGGAAAGGAGAGCCACATAAACGTTATTCTGACTCAATATTCTGGGAATTATTTTAAGAATGGAGGAGAGAAGGAAATCACAGATGCAGTCGCATGGCGAAATCACCCCCGAGCTCTAGGAGAGGGAAGTCGAAAGGGGAATTGGAACTGTAGAATTTATCGTAGAGACTATAGCAAGATAGTAACCAGAGAAACAGGGACAGGCACCACAGAGCGCGATAGAAATGAAAGTGAAAAATTTAAGCTGGAATGTTCAGGGGTTAAATGACAAGAACAAGAGAAGCACTTTAGAATCTCTCTTGCTTATTAAAGTGGATATTCTATGTCTCCAAGAGATCAAAATTAAAGACAGGTGCATTTCATGGATAAGAAAGATTTGAGGGAAGAGACGGATTTCTTTTGATGACCCAAAAGCTTGTGGCAGTAGAGGGGGTATCATTATCATGTGAGACAAAAGATCTTGGCAGTGTTTGGACAGCAAAACTGGATCCTTTTCAGTTTCATGTAGATGTGAAAGTCTTTCAGATAACTGCAAATGGGTATTCACAGCTGTTTATGGCTCCCATAATAGTCCAAAAAGGTCTGACCTATGGAATGAATTGGCTGCTATTAGGACGGTCTGATCATTGGGTAATTGGTAGTGATTTCAATGTTTGTAGCTATGAGAGTGAGAGACTCCTATGCACAAGATAAATCCAAGGCAATAAAGGACTTCTCAGACACAATCCTAGACCTCATCTGATAGACCTTTCCACTCCAGGGTGCACAGTCAAGAGGATAATCTCAAGCCTCAAATATTGATAGATACTTGATCTCACCTGAATGGAGCGATTCGAGGATGTGCATCAGTATGCACTAGCCAGAGTAGTTTCAGATCATAAGTCTATTGTACTTGCAAATAGGGATTTGGAGGCTTTCAAGTTTGAAAACATGTGGCTTCAATCAAAAGTTTTCTTGGAGTTGGTCAAGCATTGGTGGCAATCTTACAGAGTCAGAGGCACTCGTAGCTTTACTCACATCCAGAAAATAAGACTACTCAAAAAGAATAACCGAGTGGAACAATGAAGTCTATCACAAGAATGAGACCAAGAGGAGCATGGCACTTAATGAACTAGCTAAACTTGATCGAACTGCAGATCAGAGGACACCAGCCTCAGAAGAAAGCTAAAATCTTTCAATTTGAAACTTGAGTTGACGCATATTGCTTTAGTAGAAGAGATATCTTGAAGGCAAAAGTCTAGGTGTCTATGGTTGAAGGAAGGAGATCACAAAGTACTTCCACAGAATAGCCAATGCTCACAGAGGAAAAAATTGCATGGACAGACTTAGGGTGGGGGGGAATTTGACTAATAGAAGGAACAAATTGAATATGAAATCCTAAATTACTATAGTATCTTTACGAAGAAAGAGAAGCCTGGAGACCCAATGCAAATTTTGAGAGGCTGAATTCACTCAATCCAGAGGAAAGGGAGGTGCTTGAATCCCCTTTTCAGAAAACAGAATTTATAGCCATATTAAAGTCTGGTGCCTCTATAAGGCCCTTGGCCCAGATGGGTAGACTGCCTTTCTTTCAGAAATCCTGGGAGTTCCCTAAGTCAAACATTATGGCAGCCTTACATTAGTTTCATCAACATGGTCAGATGGTAAGATATTGCAATGCTTTTCTCATTGTACGCATCCCAAAAAAGAAGGGTGCAATAGAGCGAAGGGACTACAGACCTGCCAGCCTAATAAGAAGTGTTTACGATATAGCAGCTAAGGTGTTGGCAGAAAAATCAAAAAGGTTCGTTAACAAACTGGTTTCTGATCAACAAAGTGTATTCATAAAGGGCAGACAGATCATAGATACCTCTCTAAGAGTCAAGGAGGTTCTGGATTGGAAAATCAGAAGGGGAGAAACAAGCATTCTGTTAAAACTTGATATTGAGAAAACATTTGATCAGTTGAACTGGTCCTTTCTAATTAACATGCTAAAGAAGATGGATAGATGGCCAAAGAAGTCCAGTTCTGCATCTCAACAGTCAAATATTAAATATTGATCAATAGAAGACTTGTTGCTTCTTTTCACCACAAAAAGGCCTCAGGCAGAGTGACCCATCTCCCTTTGCTCTCATACTGGCTATGGGAGGGTCTTACCCAGCAGATGGATAGGGCTAAAGAACTACATGGATACATGTTTTTAAGGTTAGAAGGAACCCCACTAGTTCTACCACCGCCATACATCTGCTTTATGCAGATGATACACTAATATTCTGCAATGCAGGGAAGTCTTTCTATGGGTAGAGAACTCACACTAATCAACAGTATCCTTGATAGCATTCCCACATACTTCATATCCATGTACCCTAACCCTAGTTGACTAGTTCAGTGTTGAAGCAACTAGACAAATTAAGAAGGAATTTTTTATGGGAGGGTTATAGTCAGACTCACAAGTTCTCATTGTTAAAGTAGGTCAAAGTCGTTCAGTCGAAATCACAAAGGGGCCTTGGAAGCAGAAATTTGAGACTATACAACAAGAGATTCTAGCGAAATGGTTATGGAGATTGCACTATGGAGAACAAAAATTGATGCCAATTTTATAACCCACAATCACTGATGTTCTAAAGCAGGCTCATGAACTCATAGAAATGGCATTAGGAAGCACATTAGTAACCACCAAGCAAACTTCTTTGAGAATATCTCCTATAATGTCGGCAATGGATTTCAAGTTAAAGGATAGATGGCTTGGCAACAAAATACTTTTAAAGCCTCTGGACTATTCCTGATAACAAACAACTAAAAGAGTAATCTGCCAAACAATACAAAGGCTAACTCTTGGACCCCTCTATTCAGAAGGAATCTTTTTGATTGGGAACTCCATGACCTCCTCACTTTGATATCCACTCTGGAACACCACACAATTGAAATACTGAAAGAAGACAAAATGGTACCCGGGGGGGGGGGGGGGGGGGTCCAAAGATGCCAGTTGTGAAGTCAAGGACAGCAGCTACAATATCATGTGCTCTCAAATGATATGCTTGACAAGTGGCCTTGGAAGTATGTCTGGAAAATCAAAACACCTCCAAAGGTCACTTGCTTCACCTGGATTGCTTTAAATGAATAGGTCTGACACAGGACAATCTCAACAGAAGAAACATTGCCTTAGTCAACAGATGCTATCATGTAAATTATTTTGTTTATAAAAAACAATAGCAGCAGCAGCTTGTCTCCAAGCTATTAAAAATTGTCAGAAAACAATGTCTTTTTCAACAAATCACAAGGAAAAATTAGGGACCCACCGTAAATGTCAAACTCTTTTGTCTAAAGTCTTGAGTATTACACTGCTGCCCCATCGCCACACCCGGGAAAAAATCAAGTGTTAAATTAGGTATTAGCTCATTCAGCAAAATTCATTTTTTTGGTTTTAACAATGTAATACCAATCCCTGTGTATGGCAGTTAAGAATGACTGTAATTAAATATACAAATGATAGTTTATGTTTTATTACTTAGAGAGGAAGCAATCTCGTTCATGTGGTTTTGAAGCTAAGCACAGTCAATTGAACCATCATTACCAGAATAGAGAACTGGCAGAAAATGCAGTAAGTTAACCTATATGTTTGAAGATAAAGGCATGGCTACAGGATGGTAAAATGACAGATAGAAGGCACAAAGACCTCAATGTTTTAAAACTTCTAGAAGGTGTTCTGCTAAAATGTGTTTATCAAGCTGCTCAAACAAAATATTTGGCACTGATAGGTGGTCCAAGTAGTATAATATGGCCGTTAGCTGAGCAGTAATATTATATTTCTTGAAAAGAACATTTCCCATCGGGAATGAAGCAGAACATTGAACTTCAACTTTTAGTCTCTAGAAGAATATCAGTGACCTGTTCTATGATGCATTAGGCTGATGCTCAGCAAAAGTTATATCCAACACGTATACACCACCACATATTCCAAACTATAGTAATGGAGCAAACATGTCTTATTGTGTGATGGAAACAGGAAATGTAAACAATCCATTTTTTTGTTTTAGCAAAATAACTGTGTTGTTTTCTAGTCCAACAGTTTACTATCAGCACCAAAAATGTCCACTTGAAAGAGTTATAGAACTCCAATTAGAAGCTAAATCCATAAATTAGGTTAAAAGGACAGTTTCAAAAATGAAGGGCTAGTGCCGATAATTCAGATAAAGGTTGATTATGTGAGAAATCTGGTACAAGTATGAATATGAGATAAGCGAAACTTACAACCAATTTTCTTAGTGTACCACAATAAATGTGCTTTATGAAGAAAGTGTTTTTCAACTGAATCAGTTGCCGTCGACTTACTGCAAGATCTGGATTTTTGCAGCAAAAGGAGAGCAAGCGAGACAACAAAGGATGATTAGATACGTAGGAGAAAAAACTTTCAACGATCATTCTCAGGTGTGTCAAGAATACATAGAACTTTCTTTTTTGATAAGGTATGATAAATATAGAGTAGGGAATTCTGCAATCTTACTTCCCATGATATCAGCCAACTCTTCAATATTGCTAGCAGCATCCACACTGAATAGGCTGCTCTTAGAAAGGTTAATTTTCAGGTCTATGACTGCTTCAAAGGCTAATAAAATCCCACTAAGATAAAGAAATTGTTCCTTCTTTGCCTCACACGATAACGATGTGTCACAACATATTAATAATGACGGACAACCACCTTTTTGTCACCATTTCCTTCGATCTTAAAACCGCTGATCCACCCGAATCTTTTTTCTATTTTGAACATCTTACTTAGAATTTTGATAACCATAACAAATAAATATCGAGATAAAGGATCTCCTTGCCCCAATACCCTGTGTGATTTGAAGAATCCTTCTGAATACCTATTTATCAACACGGAGAAGATAACTGTAGAAATGCAAGTAGTGATCCACCTGATCTAATTGTCCCCAAAGTTCTTCCCTTTTATAAATGCATTTTGATTTCTAGATCAGTTTGTTGATTACCTCTAAGCTTTCAGTCAATAGCTTATCAATGATTCTACAAACATTGAGTAGGCTAATAGACCTCAATTTCAATAACACCTTTCTTTTTAATCCTACATAACATGTATAATGCCGACTTAAAATTAGTCTTGAGTAGGTATTGGATTTATCATCCCAGATCCACCCCACCCCACCCCACCTACCGTTTTCTAAGAAAGAAAAAGCAAGGGATGAACCTCAACATAGCCCAGATATGCTTTAGAAAGGTATATACAAACTTCATAGCATAAATCCATCATTTACCCCAGTTTCATATAGACAAGTATATGGAAAAGGAAACAGTGAAAACCTACCAGCTTTCAAGACTGATAAACATCAGGAAGGCGGAGACCCACACTTGCAGCAGATTTACCCAACACTTTTGTCATCTCATTGGATCTATCAACCGCAATGTTGTAAGAAAATAATAGGTCCTGCAGAAACAAAGAAAGCCACATGATCTGTAAACAGCAACAGTAATATCCCCAGGGGCGAGGGTGTTCACCCGAACTCCCTCGGCAAAACATTACACTGTATATACAAGGTGTTTTTAAGTTTTTAGTGTATATATACAGATATTGAATCCCCTAATCACAAGACTATAGGTTGAGTCTGTGTTTTAGATGGTTTAAAATTTACTTTGAGGTTTCAAGTTCAAATTCAAAGCACTAATATTTTTATTTTCGAACCCCCTAAGTGAAATATCCCTAAAACTCCCTTCAATTTGTTTCAACTTTATGGTCAACTAATAGTTAATAAAGGACAAAACCAAAATATATGCATAAACTCAGTTAAAAAACCCCAACTTCAGTGATGTGAATGAATATGCAGCATTAATCAGAAAACACAATTCATTTCAAATTCAAAGCCAAAATGTTTGGTACGTGACATGCGTTAGGATTATGCCCATGAGTAATCTAGAAAGGAATATGAAAAAAAATATGCATTTTTAATGCATAGAAAACTCTATCCCTGTTAATAAAATATTAACGTTCTGGACGGTTGTCTTACAAAATGACCCAACTGGATTACAATGTCTTATAATCACCTTCATGTCAGCAGCTTTTAATTGTCATGGGATAACATAGTTAGCAATGAAATGTTATGATACATTCTTTACCCATATAAAGCGTAGACATGTAAACGATTCAATCCTACACCCTTGTTTCACACAGTTTAGGATTATTATAATCTGATCTACATTCTAAACAAAAAGTGGCTAGTACAACGCAACAACAACAACAACATACCCAATGTAATCCAAGTGGACCTTACCCCTACCTCAAGGACGGCTCAAGTGCAGCAAAACAAAGTATTTACAACTCAAAGAATACAGTGCAATGAAAATTGTAAATAACTAGAGAAGTGAAACTAACCTTATGATGGTGGACACTGTTGAGAAGGTAAGTATAATTTTCGGCAAGCTTAATTCTTTGTTGGATAAAAGAAGAGTCTTTTGGGTATTCAAGATTTCTGTTCTTCTTGAACTCCTCTCTTATGAAGTCGGTGAAATGAACCTTGTGTTCTTCCTTCCCTATATGTTTTTCCACTGCTTTTAGTAGATTTCTATAGACCATTCTTAAACCTTTAAAAGAACCCATTTCTGCAAAATCCCAAATAACCAATCTTACCTTAGAAATTTAACCACTACTATAAAAATCCAAACATTGGGATGATAAAAATTGGGTAAGAACAGGAAGAAAAGATCGCAATTTTTGGACACTAAAGGATTTAGAAGATTGTTGGCCCTATTTTTGATAAAATTTATAATTCAAAGAGAAAACTTACATTTGACTGTTGGATGTTTTGCCTAAAGTAGCAGGTGGAATAGCATTGGCGAAGCCCAAAATTAAAAAGAATAGTAAAAATAGTTTCAAATTAAAAATTTATTCAAATGGATTAAAATAAGTTTATTTCATTTGAGTTTAATTTAGTTTGTTTTAAGTTTACATTTTTACAAGATTGAAAATATTTGGTTTGACTTTCCAAATGTGGATCAATTCTTACACAACTGGCTCCTTAAACCTGGTCGAACAAGTCATTAATTCTACGAAAGGAATAATTATTTTTAATGATGACTTTATTCAACTGACAATAGTTGATACACACTTGGAGATAACCATATCTCTTACATGCAAAAAGGACTAGGCCACCCTATGGGAGACCATATTTCAATTCTTTTAACTCGGTTGGAGCAGGGGCGAAGCCAACATATACTATTAGTGGGTTCATCTGAACCCCTTTGACAGAAAATACTATTATTTATACATGGTTAAAATTATTTTTATGTATATATAATAGATGTTGACCTCATTCGATTAGTTTGTGTGTTTACTTATTCAGGTTTTGAATCCCTTATTAAAAATCCTAGCTTCGCCATTAGGCTGGAGCCATCTCTAGGGAGAAATAGAGATAGATACATATTAGAAAGAGTATCTATCTGAAAGTCTATCTCTTTGTCAGAAGGGACACTTTTAGAAACTCACACACTCCAGGAGGAAATGACTGAAGGGGTAAGGTTTCAAGATTAGAATCATTAACCCAAACTAGATGGTCATGATAGACGTTATAAATCATCCTTCCGACCTTTTAAGATATGAGGTGAAACCTTGGGCACGATAGAACTATCCTTCCACTCTAAGAATGACTTGTTAGGAAATTGAAACTTTACAATGCTAGTTTTGTAGTCAACTAAGGCATAGCAACAATGTAACTAACTCATGCCCAAAATAATATCAAAGTCTATCATATTAACTCTACCAGATCAGATGTGGTATCTATAAGAAGTACTGAAATAGTTCAACTCATATATATTTGTCTAGCCATAACTAACTTTAAGGGAGTAGAAACAAAAAAGGGTTCTAAGGGTTGCTTATGACTTGAAACCAAACTTTATCGCAACATAAGGAGTCATAAAATAAAAGTTAGCATCGGGGTGTAACAAAGCATAATGGACAAGAATTTTAACATACCGGTAACAACATCGAGAGAGTTTTACTGAGTTTGAAGAGAAGACAAGGCATAAAGAGATTTTGACTATCATTTGCACCAAAAGTGGGGCCTTTCTAAAAAAAATTTAGCATGTTGGAGCTGATGATGTATGTAGTTGATTGTGTTCTTCTACCTTTATTACCTTGTCTTGTAAGGAGTCAATCCTTAAGTATATGACCAACCTAGCCACACATGTAGCACCCATCCTTACCATAAACTCACTCATGGGGTTGATTAATTCCGCACTTACTACATACCGGGTAAGGAGTGTATACCTAGGAAACACTGATATGTAAGAGCCAAACTCCCTCACCCTCTGTTCATTCCAAGGTTTGGGTGCAAGTGAACGAACTAAAGATGGAGCTGGTACAAATGACCTCTATTGAAAAGATGATTGATTCCCATTGACCTCTATTGAAAAGATTATTGATTCCCATTAACTGAAGATGGAGCTAGATATGGTCGGCACTCGAGAACCATTGTTGGTCCTTAAGCGAACCCTTGTCCTAGATCAATACTTAGTGGAAGATTTACTCAACAACATTGGAACTCAACAAGATAAACTCAATTATCTCAAAATAAATGACTCAGAATGTTTAAAATATTCAACTAGTCATAAGAAGGCAACTCAAGTCTTAGAACATTAACAAGTAAATGGAAAAAACTCCTCAAATACTACTGTTTATGAAGCCTGTTAATACGATGATGGAAGCTGGGACAAGACCCACGACATCCTAACAAACTAAAAAGTAAATGTGGAACCTTTTGAAAGCAAGAAAGGTTTACCAAAGCTAACTTGAATCGCAAGTAGTATCAAGGAGCCCTATTGATGATTCTGAACATATGTATTTGCATCATTAAACAATGTAGGCAAAATGACGTCAATGTAATAGTATGTAAGGGGGAAATTTGAACATAATAGTAAGCTTGAATTGATAAAAGGAAGACATACTCACGTCGTCTCAACTCAACTCAACTCAAGAATACTCAACTCAGCTTAAACAATAGGCAAGAACTCAAAATGTATAAAATATAATAATAAACTCTTTACTCTTATTTTGGAGATTCTCTAACCGACAACCATCACTATGAGCTATATGATGATACAACATCTCACCACGCTGCTAGAACTATCATATCCCTTTTCGGGGTATAAAAGATCCTCAACTAAGTGGATCCACTAAGTTATGCTTAAAAACAATAAGGAATCATCTAAAAAGTGTGACCCTTTACCCATGTTCGCATACATGGTTTATGAGGATTTTGAGTTATAAGAACTCATCCCATATCAGTGCTCAATACTACTCCGTATAATATATAACTTGTGGTCATATGTATAAAACATAACTTATCCTCAACTTGACATCATTGCTCAAAAGGTTCTCTTAAAAGAGGTAAAGCTCAAAAACTTCTCATAAACTCGTTTAGAAATCAAGGTTTCCTTTCGTTTGAAATGTCAAAGTATTTACACTTGGGAATAATTAGTTCCCTTATATTTATTTTGAAACATGAAAATCAAGTCTACACATTCTCATACTCATGTACTCAAGTCTTATATCAAGTTTTAGAAGATTGTGAAAGACTTCTCAAAATGACTCAAAAGAATTTCTTAACATTTCCTCTTAACTTTATTTTAATTTGAAAATGTAAATTAAGATATATGATTAGTATATGCATGATCTCTCAAAGATTAATGAAGTTTTTAAACGTGGATATCAAGAAGAAAACATAGGTACGATTCAAGGGAACACACACTAAAAGAAGGATAGAAAGGTAGGGGATTTGACGACCTTCGTGCAGTGTACCAGCCCCAAAACTACTGGATAGTAGTCGGAGTGCACTTCTGCATGGCGTGTCAGGCCCCAAACTATTGGCTAGTTGTTTGGGGGCGATGGAGGCACGATGCTCCACCCCTCTACCCAGTTTTGATGAATTTTTCTTGCCCAAATTCAAGGCGTAACTCATTTAGAATAGAATGATTTACTCTCAACTCGTTTGGATTCATATACCCAAAACAGTTCAATAAAATCCCATTCAAAATTCAGCAAGAACAAAACTCATTCGCAAAGACCCTCACCTCAAGAACTCAACAAGAATCTACTATTAAAGAATGAAGGAAAACCTCAAGAATTCGAATCAACCAACCTCAAGAATGAAATTATGGATTAAAATCACATGATTGGCATGAGGGTGAACAAAACAAACAGTATGAGAGCTTACATACATCAAAAGAACTAAGTTCTTAGCGAAACTCTTCAAATCTCGAATGATTGCATGAACTTTCTTCTTTTTCTCCTCTTGAACTTCTCTCTAAAAAAACTACGCTCTTTTGGAATGACTAAAACTAATGATATTCAGTTTAGATCCCTAAAAGGGCGAGAAAAACATTTAGGCCTAATGGGGGTAAGTAAGGAAAAACCCAAAATACCCCTTTTTAAATCGGATGAAATGTCTTAACTAGAGAGGTTGCACTCAAACAGTCATAACCTTCATTCAAACTTGGAATATAGCAAACTCGGCGCCGTTGGAAAGAGGATTCAAAGACCTTCCATTTTGTACCTCATGGGACACTTAAACCATTATATGTTAAAAGTTATGGTTGTTTAAAATTGACCCAAAACTCACAATTGAAGAGTAACTAGTACACTGTACTTGGAACCACAAGTGATCCCAACCCTTGCCATAACATATCTAGGAAAGTCATCTGAAACTGAAGAGGAGGCTGAAACTTTTTTAAATTGATAAATAGTTCAACATTAATTTAAATAAGGAAATGAAAGACATAACAATCATTCACGACAGAAGAAAAGCAATTGATCAGGAAGCTAACGAGGGATTCCTGCTGTTGTTGAGCTCAGTTTCGCAAGAGGTAAGGAGAATGCAGTAGTCACTTATTTGCAATTATTCACTAACAGTAGTACGTTCTGCAACATGGTTCTCCAGGAAGGAGTTGTAACTCCGTTAGAGGAAGATAAAAGGTAGTATGATTTTGCAGAAACCTCACACATTCCTTTCTATTTTGATTCAAGTATTCTAACAACACATATATGCAGGTTGATGTACTTCTTAGCTACTTTAGAAACATTGTATGTGAATGTGAGAAGCTTATTATACATGTAATAAGTGTCTAATTGCATAACTTATAAACATTGCGTTTGAATGGAGGTGAGATTGGATGTGAAATTTTATTTAGAGTCGGAAGAGTTTAGTATGTTAGATCATGACAATAATTCCTTATTTGCTTGAATATAGGATTCTTTTATAGACATTCAGAAGTCTCTTATATAAACTCAAAGTCATTCATTAATTAGGATAGCTCTTTTCTTTTTGTATTCAAACTCTATTATGTACATCATCAGCACATATATATACATATATTATGGAAGCCTTGGTCACGGAAGACAAGACCAAGAGCTGACCTCTTCTTTTTACGTTTTAATTTGGTATAAAGAGCTAATCTTTTTTTTCTTATTTTCGCCATCATGGACAACCACAACTATTCCATTGCCGTTGTTGTTCAACCACATTCATATTCTTCCACACATCTTTACATAACTGACTCCAACTCCCAAACAATAGCCCTTCGCGACCTTCCAATCAAAGTTGATCAAGAAAATTACTACCTCTGGCAATCTACTGTATATCTGTCTTTGAAGCCTTTGATTTGGAGGGTCATCTTGATGGAACTAATGCTCCACCTATCAGTATCTTAACCAATACTCATGGCACATATGAAGCCATATCAGATCCAGCGTTCACGACTTGGAAGAAGATGGGCAAAGTCTTTCT